CAGCTGTCCTGCGTCTGACCTCAAAGTGCACAAGCTTCAAACTTCAGCGTTGGCTGCGATTTTGACGCTGAAATCGCGTTCGGTGTGAACGCACCATCAGGCTGAGTTCACCTGAAACTCATCAGATTGAAGAAGTCTCTTGGAGGAGAGACAAAACATTTCACTAAAGAAGAACCCATCCAGAGGACCTACTTATTTTTCTTTTTGATTAACTTCTCACATTTCAAAAGATTTTTCTGAAAAATTTAATTTCAAAACTTTTTTTTTAGTTCATTCCTCATCACGGCCTAGCACCAGTTAATCAGCACAATAATTAACAGTTCATTAAGCTGCTGTTAATGGCAGAGATTAAAGTCTCTCGTGGGTTAATTAAAAAAAGTCCCTGCTGGAAACGACTGTCTTCATTCTGATATTTTTACAATCTGCTTGCCGATGTTTCCACCTTTCATCATGGAGCAAAATGCATCTGCAAGACAATAAAAATGAAGGAGAATAAACTCTTGGCAAAAAAAACACACAATGATATAAGTTGAAAGTAAAATGATCACATACTTCCCATGTTTTCTATGCCATTCAGCACAGTCTCCAGCACCTGCAGAGACAAAGCAATAATACAGTATTATGAAGAAAAACAAAGAATGTTACAACCACAGTTTTACCTTAATTTGGGATGATTTGACCAACTGGCTGAGCTCCAACAGAGAAGCTTCTGTTTTATTCATATAGTTAAGGACCAGAAACCTCTCCCGGGTGATGTTCTGGCTTTGCAGGATTTTTTGTGTTTCATCGCTCAGGGGTGGGGGGTACGGTACATCTTTGTTGTACTGCGAGATCTGCCCACAGAGGATCACATGGCCGTCTTTGTTCATCTAGAGGATAAAGAAAGCTGATGTGTTTAAAACATAAAAATCCATTTTTGAATCTTGCAAAATAAACCAGAAAAAAACAACAACACAAAACTCAACAAGTACCTGTGCTATAACAGCATCACTGACAGCACCTCCCACATTGTCGAAGTACACGTCGATCCCTTCAGGACAACTGTCCTGAAGCTGTGCAGACACGTCCTCCCTGCGGTAGTTGATGGCCGCAGAGAAGCCTACATCTTCAACCAAAACTCTGCACTTCTCATCAGAACCGCAGATCCCGACCACCCTCACACATCCGTCCAGCCTGCCGATCTGGAACAGTACAGAGGCGCTGGTATTCTTACAGAATGACTTTTGTACAGATGCTGATTCAACATTCCTGGTTTTTATTTGTCCGTTTTTTTGGCAATCTACAGTTAGGTCCATGTATATTTGGACACTGACACAAATTTTGTGAATGCAACAAAATAGGTTGTCATTCATTTCATTATGTAGCATGCCCACTCTGTTTTCTAATGGTACTTTTAGCTACTGTTCTGCTACTTTTATCTCTTATCTGTCATTCTGCTACTTTTAGCTTGTAGCAAACCCTTATATTTTACAAACTGTAATTCAGATTTTTTTTTGTTCACAGTTTGGTCCTTCAACTTAGTCAGGTGCAACTTATACATGTTTCGACATATTTTGACTGCTGCCTTCAATGTCAGTTCATACTGACTGATATGAACTATGTGCAGCTGCTCTAGGCTTGTGACAAAGTTGTTCCTATACCGCTAAAAAATTAACTGAAACATTAACTTAAAGACAACTGGGAAATACTGAACACAACTTCTGAACACAAGACTTCTAGTCTGGAAAATACATTACTTTTAAACAACATTTTGCTACTTTTAAAGGGATCCCCGATTAGTTGTGACATTAGACTTTATTTGATAAACATATATTTTAACTGTAAAATAAAGACTGTAAAAATACTGTAGAAT